GTATAAATACATATTTAATTTTTTTTTATAAATTAAAATAAAATTTTCTATTATCTTTGTATGTTATAAAAACTAAAATAAAAAGTTTTGTATATAGGGAAAAAATTAAGTTTTAATAAAATTTAATGATTAGGAAAAAGCTGTTTTTGATCACTTTCAAATGAATATTAATGTTTAAAAACGTTTATTTTAGTATTTATACTACTCAAAAAACAGTATTTTGGCCAAATTTTAAGTGTTTCTGAATCACTGTGGAGTGAGGTGAATACAATCCACAAAGCAAAATTATCCTCCTTAGTATTTTTATTTTTTTTTAAATAAATAAGATAATTTAAATATGAATATAGTATTGAGGTTAATGTACCTCGGCATCGCTGAAACTTTTTTCCTCTTTTAGTTTCAAAACAAGTGAATAAAATAATTCCTCTCTTTCGACAACAATATTTATTTTTTCTGCTCTCCTCTTTCTTGTTTTTTCAGAAGCTTCGGTGGATGGTATGGAATTTGCATCTGGTGGTCTTCCATAGACAACTAATTTATATTAATATATCAGATGATTGTATTTACTATAAACATTTGCTAAAACACAATAAACATTGAAAAATATCATGTCTATTATTTTAATTTTTATAAAATATCATACCTAAATTGTGAGAAGAAGTAGGAAAAGCTAAGCACGAGTTTTGGCCCTTGTCTAGTTTTTCTGTTTCAAAACATGCATCGCTTGTTTGTAGTTTTTTTTTCAAACCAGATTTTGTAATGCAACTCAATCTATCCTTGTCTGTTTACTTAACTCCATTTTTTGTTAAACTGTTTAGAAAATAATTTGAAGTCTATGTCAGAGATCCTTGTAACTTTATAAGCATCAGGGTCGGTAACTGATTTGATTAAGTTGTTTTCCAAAGCATAAAACATTTTTTTAAAGTAATTTCTTTATTTTTCATAGTGATTGGTAGAACAAAATTTCAAGTTAAAAATACAATTATAGTTTTTTAAAGTTTTTAAATCGGATTCATATTTTATATAGTTAAAAACATAGATAAATAGCTGAAATAAGTTTAAGTTCATAAATAAAAAAACCAAATATTTTAATGTTTTTTGTAGTTTCCGTAATTGCAATTATTTAGAGTTCATACTTAACAACAATGTACTTTGAACAATTAAAAATGACAAACAAGTTGTATGTTTAAAACCTGCTAAACATTAATTGGCGCAACTTTGCGCAACATATTTTTAATGAGAAACCTTCTACAATATTAAGGCGCTGTAAAAAAGTTAATCCCATAGTGGGGAAACATGGGCGAAAAAAGATCTTGAATCATTAATGATAACTTTTTATTAAGTTTTGTAATACTTTTAACAATCATATTTAAAGTTTAAACAAATGTCCTAAAATACAAGATTATTTTTATTTGTTAAATTTTCTAAAATAAAGAATGTACCGTGATATTGACATTATAAAATTTTAATTATATAAAAAAAAACTGCGCTCACAAGATTAAATTTAAATTTCTTTTCTTTTTAAAAAAAAAAATTTTTTTTTATGGACGAGCTTGAAAACTTTCCCTGGACTCCTAAAACAAAAATTAAAATATTTAAACGACAGACTTTTTTATTGTGGGGTATTCACTTTTAAAATATTACAAAAAAAAAAAGTTTCCACAAATAACCATTTTCGGCACTTATGCCAATCTCTGGCCCACTGTGCAGTGGAATCTTTTATCATTTTATCACAGTGGAATCTTTTATCACTAAATCTCAGTGGAATCATTAACACTTTATCACAGTGGAATCTTTTATCACTTTATCATAGTTGATTTTCAAGTCATTTCATTTATTATTCTATTTAGTTTTTTGATATTTTGAAGAAAAATATTGGTTTTATGAAAATAAAATTTTTTAAAAAGATAAATAAATTAGAAACTGGGTCAAATGATTAAATATTCTAATAGTTTGATTGCTGGAGAAAATATCTTTAGAAATTAAATTAGAAAATATATTATTAAAGTTCTTGAGTGGTTTGTCAGTAAAGATATAAATGATTAATGATAAAGAATTTTTGAGACAATTGTGTTTAAATACTCTAAGATTGACTTATCAGAGTTTGCTTTTATGAGATCTAATTTGCTTTTATGAGATCTAATTTGCTTTCATGAGATCTATATTAAAATCACCCATTAAAAAGATAGTTATTTATATTGATTACAAACGCCTATTAACAACTAATACAAACTTACCATAGTAATATTGATAAGTATAATATACCATAGTAATATTGTACTTAACAAATTATGTTTGATTATGATGAAAAATCTGATATCAAAGTTGCTACCAAAACTTGATGATTTGAGTACATAATTCGGAGATTAAAAAAAATTTATTACAATAAAAGTTGCAACTTTTTATTTTGTCAGCTTCTTTTATTTTATTTTAGATTTATTGGAGAAGCAAATTTTTTAAATTATTAGATGAACGTTAAATAATTACATAAAACTTCATCTTTCTATGGTTTCTATGGTGATTTTTTGTTTGAAAAAGCTCTTAGTTGTTTATAAAAAATGTTTATAGTAAATGTTTAACCAGGAAACGTTAGTTATTGATAAGCCAAGGTTGTCAGTTGTTGCCAAACCAGGAAATGTTAGTTATTGATAAGCCAGGGTTGTCAGTTGTTGCTAAACCAGGAAACGTTAGTTATTGATAAGCCAGGGTTGTCAGTTGTTGATAAGCCAGGGTTGTCAGTTGTTGATAAGCCAGGGTTGTAAGTTATTGATAAGCTAAGGTTGTAACTACTACAAGGTTTTTAGCACACAGGTACTATAGGGATTATTATTAAATGTTTAAGAGGAGGAAAACACAGTTAACAAAATATGGTATTTATTTGTGTTTAATTACTGGAAAATATATTCAAAAACAAAATTGGATAGAAAAAAGAACTCAACAAATAGATTTGGATATTTAAATACACAAAACAGAGTGTTTTTGAAATATGCATACAACCTGTACAATGCAAAATTTTTCTTAAAGTGTAAGATGTAAATTTTTTTAAGATGTGCATACAAGATGTGCAATGAAAATTATTTCTCATAATATGCAGCCAAGATGTATGATGCTAAGATGTGCATAATGTGCATACAAAATGATGACGTGTGTTTCAAAAGATGTAAATGATTTAAATAAAGATCAAGTAATAAAATTATTCAATGAATACTAAAGCAAATTTTTAATAAATTTAATGTCACTTTTAAAACCTACTTATTAGTTTAATTTGGTGAGGGTAAACAATGCTTTTTTTTATTATTAAATAAAATAATAAACTTTGAAAAACTGGCAACATGAAAAAATAAATAAAACGACATTTGTAAAAAAGTAATTTCTGATAAATTTGAATTGAATTTATGGCTTAAGCCAAATTTTAGAGAAACAGTTTACAAATAATTGTTTAACAAGCCTGTAAAATGAAATCCTAAAGTTTATTTATTTCTATGTGATGTAATGGTAAAGTGATGTAATGGTAAAGCATTCATTTTTAATCATACAGAGTTTAATCCCTGCCATGCACCTCATAGTACAGTTCTGAACTTGTTTCTCCAGGCAGTGATCTTGTTTGCTAAGGGTTGTGTTTTAGAATTAAAAATACAACAAATTGTGTTTTAGAATTAAAAATGACAACAATTTAAACAAAAAAAAAATGTTAAAGACTTATTTTAAAATATTTCTTAAAAAAATATTGTTTATTTACATTACTAAGGCTTAACAATACACCTGCTTTAAATGTTTTAAAATTATATGCACCAATTTTACTAAGTACATTTTTTAAATTAAATTTTCTTCATACACATTTTATGCAAAAATAGAGATAAAAAATTATAAGCCAACATTTTTTTGATTTTTTTATAAAGTCCTCTTATGGCTTTTTATATTCCTTACATGGCTTTTTTAAAATTAGTTTTATTATCGATATTATTTTATCAAGGTTGAGGTTTTAAACTTAACAAACATTAAATTATTTAACAAACATAAAATCATTTAACAAACATTAAATTATTTAACAAACATAAAATTATTTAAAAAACATTAAATTATTTAACAAACATTAAATTATTTAACAAAAATTAAATTATTTGACAAACATTAAATTATTTAACAAACATTAAATTATTTAACAAACATTAAATTATTTAACAAACATTAAAATATTTAACAAACAAAAAACTAAAAACATTTAACTAATTGCTTGCAATATTTTTTTTACTATATTTACCAGTCAAATCTGTACAGCAAGAAAGCATGCACTTGTTGCCATGGTTTAAAATGAAGGATACAACTTTTTAATGTATACCTCTTTATCTTAAACAATCAAAATTAAAAAAAAAAAACACTTTATTACAAAATTAACTGCAAACAATTAAAACTTAATATCATTTGTTTCAAAGCTAGATTTATCAAATTTATAAAAAAAAAAAAAAATGAAAATTTAAAAATGAGCTTTAAATAACAAAAAGTGAAAATATCATAAATGTCAAAAACCGTGTTGTTTGAGCAGGTGTAAATATCATAAATGTCAAACAACACCGTGTTGTATGAGCTGGTGTAAATATCATAAATGTCAAACAACACTGTGTTGTATGAGCAGGTGAAGCTATTTTTATTTTTATATTATGTTTGCTATTTTTATTTTAACTATTTATTTTTATGACAACCATTATGCAACCTTAGCTAGAAACAGTAAAATTTTAGCTATTTTAATTTTCTTTTTCTGTCACTTTATCCAATTTTTAGGCTTTTTTCTTTTTTTATTAATTTTGCAATTTATTAAATTTTTTCATCACATAACAACCACATAAAATAATGTTAAAGCCAACCTTAAAACTTTGTTATAACCTATTATAACAAATATATAATGTTGAAACTTTATTTAATTAAACACTTGATTTGTATTACATGACTAAAACACTGTATCAAATCAGGTTTTAAAATCTTTGAACAAAATAACAACTTACCAATTTCTACAAAATGTCGAGGTAGACCTCTTATATCATTAGGTGGTCTTTCTTTTACAATACAAACCTAATTAAATAACAAATTTAATTTATTTTAAATTGATATTATCAAAATAATTTGTTTGATAAAACTTGTATTATCGCAGCTAACATTTTTTTAAAAAGGGGTTGAAGAATTTTTGTTGTACTTGTTTTTATCTGCTTTGTATAAGTACTTTTTATAGTAAAGTACTATTTATAGTAAAGTACTATTTATAGTAAGGTACTATTTATAGTAAGGTACTATTTATAGTAAAGTACTATTTATAGTAAAGTACTATTTATAGTAAGGTACTATTTATAGTAAGGTACTATTTATAGTAAAGTACTATTTATAGTAAAGTACTATTTATAGTAAGGTACTATTTATAGTAAGGTACTATTTATAGTAAAGTACTATTTATAGTAAGGTACTATTTATAGTAAAGTACTATTTATAGTAAAGTACTTTTTATAGTAAAGTATTCATTAAAACAATGTAAAAAACAAACTTACTTTGATTGAATTTCCCCATGCCACAAAAAAACAAGTGTCATCTTTCCAAGATAAATTACAATGGAATAACTCATCGCGTGCACTGAAAAGTTCAAATTTTCTGGTAATTAACAAAATATTTTTTTAATGCAAAAATTTTTAGTATTATAATAACAGTGGTTTTAACATTAGACAATAAAACTTATTTTGTGATAAATAAGATGATAACCTTGTAACCTTGCATAATCATTTTTGTGAGACAAATGAACTTAACATGCAAGTATATTTGCAACTTATTATTTCCCTTATTTTTTCTTTATTTATATTTTTCTAAAAGTTACAGTTAAAGAAAAAATTTTTGCAAATTTTTGTTAAAACTTATTGTTAAGCCCTATTTTTTCCTTATTATTTTTATTTATATACATTTATTTTTATATAAAATTAATTTTAATTAAATGTTTACTAATTTCCTTAAAACAAGCAATATTCTCAAGCTTTTTGTAAGTTGTAAATATAAGGAAATGTAAATTTTGCAAAATGCAAATACTGTGAGATGTATATCCTGTAGAACATTAATTCTACAAGATGTAAATCACCTGAGATATAAATCCTATGAGATGCAAACCGTGTTAAACATTCTTGTGGGATGAAATTCCTGTGAGATAATTCTTGTTAAATTTAATTCCTTTGAGATTTAAATCTTGTGAGATGTTACTCTTACCTTGCAAACTTTATGGATTGCAATAAATTAAAAAATCTGTGAAATGTAAAAATACTGTAAAAATCTAGGATGTAAAAAATCTATTGTTAAAAGATAAATTATAAAAAAAATACAAATATCTGTTCATCAATACTTAAGTTGAATCAAAATATAATTAAAAAATATTCAACGAAGTAATACTATCTTTTAAGATAACTTTAACCAAAATTTTGACAATTCTTTACATGTTTTTTATAATTATTTCTTCATTCGTTATTGGAAATTTTTTACTATTAAATCAGCATTTACAGTCATGGCCAAAATACTTTGGCCAGATTTTTTAGATATTTTTATAATAACTCCCTTATATTGACCTAAGTTAATAACTCTCTTATATTGATCTAAGTTAATAACTCCCTTATATTGATCTAAGTTAATAACTCCCTTATATTGATCTAAGTTAATAACTATGTAAAAACAATATTTAGCAGGTATCGGATAACTGTTGCTATGAGGCGAATTGAGCAATAACAACAGTTTTTTATATTTTACTAGCCTTTTACAACCCTCGGAATTAAGAAAAATAAATCGGCAACAATTTGCCGATCTCAGTCTTTAAGAGGTTGACAAAAAAACTTGATACAAAGGTTTCACCATAAAATATAGAAACGAGGTCCGCAATTTTTTGCCAACCTCAAACACTTTTTAACAACCACAAACTATTAACTTTTGGCAGTGCTTCACAGTAGGAATTGTGTAAGGATGATTGTATTCTTTTCTGACAGGACGACAAATACAAATTTCGTCGAAAAACACAACTAGCAATCTCGAAAAACACAACTAGCAACATGACTTTTTGAGAAAACATTTAATATTTTTTGCTGTTGTGCAACTTGATGAGAAAAAATTATTCTCTATTACTTGAATGAGTAGGTTATAAGTATGTATGCCTGACAAATCATGAGTAACAGTGTTTTTGCTATCCAGCTGAACAGTATATTTACAGTATAAACAGTATGTACAGCTGAACAGTACAGCTGTGCATACTGTACAGCTGAACAGTATTTTTGTATGATGTACAGCTGAACAGTATTTTGTATGATGTACAGCTGAACAGTATTTTTGCTACCCAGCTGAACAGTATTTTTACAGTATATTTACAGTATATACAGCTGAACAGTATATTTTTGCTATCCAACTTTTGGTATGAAGTGAACCGATCATGATGTACAGCTGAACAGTATTGAAAAGGAAGCTTTTAAAACAGCTATTAAAGGGATTAGTATTATTATAGCTTGCTACATTTACATTGACTTTTACTATAAATAGAATAAGCCTGTAAGTTTTAATAAACACAAATTAGCTAATTAAAAACAATTTTTGTTACCCGAAAGTTATTATTACTTTTGATATGAAATAATACAGTTTAGCTAGGATTACAAGCACTTATGAGTAGACTAAATATTACTTCTAGATACTACTTATAGTTTTAGCCTTGCCTTTAAAGGTTTAAATTTATTGTTAGCTTGCTCTTACTATGTAAAAATCACTGTTAACTAGATTTCTATTCAACCTGTTGGATATGAAAACAATAAATTGACTGCAGCATTAGACATTTGGCAATAAATTGCCAGCCTCA